ATCATAGATGCAATAGCTCTTTAATAATCCTTGTCAGCTGGGGTGCCTGGCTGGCTCAGTCATTAAGCGTCTGCCTTCAGCTCAGGTCATGTTCCCAGGGTCCTGGGATCGAGGCCCCCATCGGGCTCCCTGCTCCACGGGAAGCCTGCTTCTCCCTCTCTCACTCCCCCTGCTTGTGTTCCCTCTCTCGCTTTGTCTCTCTCTGTCAAATAAATAAATAAAATCTTAAAAATAATAATAATAGTAATCCTTGTCAGCTAATTCCACCATCTCATCTCAGGTTCAGCTTTCATTGATTGTCTTTTCTTTTGAGTATAGATAATCATTTCCTTTTTAAAAAATATATGGGAGGGTGTGGTAGATTTTATCCTGAGTCTTGTGAATTATACATTATAGACACTCTGGATTTTGTTATATTCCTTCAAAAATGAAATTTTTACAAGGAGTTATCTTGTCTTAGCTCAAATTCAGACTGCAGATAGTTTTCCCTGTGGTTAGTGACTATTGTAATTTTATCTCACTTCCTATAGCCTCATTGGGCTGCTTGTAATCTATCTAGTACATGTGTAGTTTAGGGGTTACACAAATAATTTTGGTCTTCCCTCTTTGTCCCTGTACTTTCTATGATCTCTGTTCCTTATTTTTCAGTTTTTGTGGTTGCATCAAACTCTAACCTCTGGTTTTTCAAGACTGGAATAATGAAAGTTTTTTTTAAATGTCTTTTAGCCACCTAACATAGCACATACTAGAACCTTAGTCTAAAAGGCATAAAAGTCCACATAGTACAGTTTCCTAATTCCAATTAATGACCCTAACAAATATCTCCTTTCTTTCAGTCACTCTCCAGTGCGCATAAATATTTTCTGTTGTGTCCAGAGTTTACAGTTTTTATCTGTGGGAGGTTTGATACAATAGGAGCTATTCTTCCATTACAGGAAACTGAAAACTTTGAAGCAATGTTTTTGGTAGAAAAAAAAATTGCAAATGAGTCAAATTCTATCAGCAGAGACTTGGTTACATTAACTGTGCCATAATCACAAAAAGGAGTGTTGAACAGCACTAAAAATGAATGAACTACAGCTACATTCCATGATGTGGATGAATATTAGTGCATTACTTGATGTAGAACATATAATGCTACTGCAAATATAACATATGGTTATCTTGATGACTACGCAGCACAAAAGTTTAATATTGTTCCCTTTAATACTGCCATCAGTCTAGAGCAGGGATCAGCAAACTTTTTTTTGTTAGGAGCTAGATAGTAAATATTTTAGACTTTATGGGCTATAGTCTCTATCCCAACTACACACCTCTGTTATCAAAGCATGAAAAGAGCCATGACACTATATCTATGAATGGGCATGGCTATGTTCCAACAAAACTTTGTCTCCAAAAATAGGCAGGGTGTTAGATTTGGTCCATGATAGCTGCTACTCCCTCATCTAGATAATTCTCAAGGCTACCTTCCCTTTCTGCAGTGGCTCAGATATTGAGGATGGTTTAATATCACACCATCTCAACAACAAGACTCCTCCAAGATCAGATAAAAAGAGAGCATTACAGGCAATTGTATACCAACAATTATTATTGCAGCCCAGAATAACACACACTACTTCTGCTCAGTGTCTGTTGGTCAAAATTTATTCTATGACCTTAACCAACTATGAGAAAGCTGAGAAAGGATGAGAACATTTTTGAACACTAGAAATGTCTAATTTAATATAACATTGAATAAAAATGCAAGTCCGAGAAGATTATATATAACATAAAGAACATATTATAAAGTAAAACCAGTAAAAGTAAACCATATAATAGTTCCATGTTTAAAAATATCTAATGATAATAAAAGGCAAAAAAAGCAAATATGGAAAATTCAAAATTAGGCTTGGTGCTTGTCTTTTGGAGGACATAGAGAAAGAATACATAGTCACATTAAACTTTTGGTGTTACTTTAATTCTTGGACTGAGCAAGGTGCTCAAGAATATTTATTACTATGAAAGAAAAAATTCCATTATGGAAATTACCAATTCAGAAATTACATGTATAATAGTTAATTTTATGTGTCAACTTGACTGGATCATGGGATATCCAGATGTCCAGTTAAACATTTTTTCCTGGGTGTATCTGTGAGGGTATTTCTAGAAGAGATTAATATTTTATTTGGTAGACTGAGAGAATCAGATAGCCCTCCCCAGTGTGGGAGGACATCATCCCATCCATGGAGGTCCTGAATAGAACAAAAAGGCAAAGAAAGGTTGAATTCATTCTCTGTCTGATTGCTTGAGTAGAACACCGATTTTATCCCGATCTTACCCTGTTCTCAGTTCTCAAGATTCAGACTAGAAACTATATTGTCAGATTTTGGCTCTTAGATCTTCAAAGTATATCACTGGCTTTCCTGGATCTCCATTGTGCACATCTTGTGATTTCCTAGACTCCATAACCTTATAATAAATCTGTTCTTAGATACATATGTCCTATTGGTTCTGTTTCTCTGGCGAACCCTGACAAATACAATGTTACTTCTTCCAAAAAGTAAACCTTCAAGGCAAGTTATATCTTTATATTACATGCTTTCATTGCATATTACCTGTCTTCACTGTAATTTAAGAAGTTTCTGTGTAATTATATTTGTTAGATAACCATTGCCTCCACTACACTGAAGGCTCCATGAAAAAATGACGATGTCTGTCTTGCTATTATCACCTCAATTCCCCCAATAATTTCATCACAATCGATATTCAGTATATATATTTTTTTTCTTAAGATTTTATTTAGTATTTATTTATTTGAGAGAGAGAGAAAGAGCATGAGCAGGGGAAGAGCTGAGGAAGAGGGAGAGGGTGGAGGAAAGAATCTCAAGCAGACTCCACACTGAGTGCAGAGCTTCACACAGGGCTGGTTCTCAAGGCCCTGAGGTCATGACCTGAGCTGAAACCAAGAGTGGCCGCTTAACTGACTGAGCCACCCAGGTGTCCCTAGTATATATTTTTAAATGAATAAACTTGAAAGCAAAGAAGCTAAAATGAAAAAGAAAATTACCCAAATACCTCAATTCCTCAAAACAACTCTTTATAAAATGTAGGGTATTTCAGTTTAGTTTTTTGCTATGAATTTTTGCATTTTTACATAGTCACAATCTCACATTTACTTTCATTCGGTTTTTTTTGGTTGTTGTTTTACTTAACATGTCAGCATAAATAAGTCTTTTCCACATTAATATAAACTCTATAATCATAATTTCATAGGAACACACAATATTCCATTCATAAAATTTTCCATAGTTAGCTTACCCATTACTCTAGTAAATAGTGGAGATGTAGATTTGTTATTATTACTGTTTCTGTTGTTACTACGATAAGAAATATGACAATGAATATCTTTCCTCTGAGAGGTTTCCATGGATATCAAGTTTTTCTCTTAGGCTATATATCCATTATACAAATTTCTGGTAGAATTTCATGATAATTTTCTAAGTTTTTAATGATTATTGGAGAGGTAATATTTACCCTTGATTTAATTTAAAATAATGTTCAATTATAGTCTAATAACTAGATTAAGCGCTTATTAGAATGAAAGGTTTCGAAGTTTTGTTCTTGTTATTTTGTACCGGGATATTTTGTGAGGGGTTTTCCTTTTTTTTGTTTTTTATTAGTGGATACTGCAAGTCTATACAAAAGGAAGTTACTGAGACTGCAGAGAACTTGTTGGACAGAAAGCCATGATAAATTTTAAAAAAAGATTGTGATGCTTTAGGAAGGTGGTATTGAAAGGCACAACTCCAGCTCGGCTGAGCAAAGCCCTTAAGGATAAATGCAAAATACGAGGGAAGAAAGAGTTATTTCCAAGAATGTTTATGTAAGAATGAGTTAAAAGATAGCCCCAAGCTATATGCACTGTACCTACTATTTTCCTAAGTAGAAGCACCCCAAATCTAGGTAGTAAGTGTTCAGTGTGTGCTTCCAGGAATATCTCTATGGACTGCAGACCTCTTATTTCAGCCCATAGCTGCTCATTTCCAGAAAAAAATAATCAATCCATTTTCTTTAAATGCTAAATGGAAGAAAATAAATCTGAACAGTGCAGAAGAGTAGCAATAAAATGCTTGACAAAGTTTTTTTTTTTTTAAGATCAGAGAATGTTGACACAAATTTGAGATGTTGCATAATCATTAGCTGTTATTTCTTAAACTCATGAAGAGAAGAAATAGAGATAAGCTTTAGAAGTTGTAAAAGGAAAAATATAACATATTTTGAAATAAACATATATTTATATGTTTAATAATGAGAATTAGAGTAGCTTACTTCATTTTAATATAAGGGAAAACATTAGAACAGAAAATAAATTTCATTTTATAGAGACATAAAAACACATGGCTTTGTGCTCAGGTCAGACTTAATTTAATGTCCTCCCATTTATACAGAGCAGGTATTTAATGGAGAAACAGAAATTGAAATCAATCTGGCTCTTGTTTGTGGTTTTAACCAATATCTGTTATCCTCAAAAAGCTAAGAAAAAATGGTCTATGCTAGTGGTTTTCAAATTATGAGCAGCATAGAATTCTTCCTTCAGATTAAATTTTACTCTAAAGACCAAGATTTAAAATGGTTAAAAAACATTGCTTCTCTAGTTAAACCTGGTGTGCCATGTCCTGGCTGTGGCCTCCTGGACCCTCTACCACACATTCAACAACTGCTGAGGGCCCTCAGTGCCCAGGATAAATTAAGCCCCATTGTTAGTCTGCACAATCGTTTGTAAAAGGTGATTGAAATGTGGGTAGGGCATGGAAGGAGAGATATTCCTGCCACAAAACTTTATAAAGATCCATATCAATGACAGCTACTCTTCCTCTTTTTAAAGATGGTTATGCAGAATACATTTTAATGAAACAATTATCTCATATTTTTTTCTGTTTTAAATCAATAACTACTCTTTGATTAACATGCACCACACTCACCATGTTTTTGGTTTTTTTTTTTAAGATTTATTTATTTATCTGAGAGAGAGAGCAAGAGAGCAGGGAAGAAGGCCAGAGAGAGTCTTAAGCAGACTCCACGCTGAACGCAGAGCCCGAAGCGGGGCTTGATCTCAATATACTGAGATCATGACCTGAGCCGAAACCAAGAGTCTGGCACTCAACTGACTGCACCACCCAGGCGCCCCTCATCACATGTTTTTTACACGTTATTGCTGAAACTACAAGGTAGGTATTTCCATTTCTAATTTGTGTTCATAAACTAAGGCTCAGAAAATACAAATCTGTAAGTTCAAAAGACTAGTGCAAGATCCATTATGCAAAAGTTGGTCTCTCTGATATAGAAACATGGGCTCTTTTCTATATAACATTTTGCCTTCTAATGAAATTTTACCTCTAGAAAACTCTTAAAATCACATCTTGTTACTTTTAGTCATTAATAAACAATTTTATCTAACATAGATACACTGAAAGGTAGACCTTTTTTTAAGCTTTTGAGCAATGTGATAAAAAGATGCTTATAATGTCTAAATTGTTGAAGTAAAAAAAAATGATTAATTGAATTTTTCATGAGAATTGAGATTCTTTTTCCAATCACTGACAGAAGACCCACTCAGAACTTAACCATGGCTAACACATCAAATGATAGAGGCAAAATTTACCACACTACTAGAGTTAATTGGTAAATCCACTGAAGAGCTGCTTGTTTTGCATTTTGATAACCTGTCAATACAATGAATAGATTTTTTAAAAATCTTTTTTTTGCATATTATGATCATCTAAAAGAAAGTTTGGATTTTCTTCATCCCATTTTGAAATCACATTTAATTAATTATATCATGGCAGTAGTTAAATAAAAGAATCACACATTGCTATGAATTCTCACATGTTTTAGAATTTAAACAGAATTCCTTAGTAATGATATGAAAAATAATATTAGTATTAAGTATGTTTATTAAAGCCCTGCGGATCTTGCAATAATTTTGCCCTTTATAGGATATTTGAATTCTTATTGGAGCATAGAGAACAGGACAATAGACATGAAACAGTGGACACAATTGAAGAAGGTTCTTGTGATAATATCAGAAGGAGATGCTATAAATGTTATGCTTTTCCCAAAAGGACCTATAGGCATTTACTAGAGCATTTATGTAGCAGGAAATGGAAAAAATCAGATATTTCATGGACATTTGGATTATTACTCCCTCTACACTAATACTAATCCCTGGGAATCTAGAACACTTTAGTCCATTGACCCAAGTGGCAGTTTATTGGTATCAGGTGATAAATGGAGACTTGACTTATATGCATTTATAGGCCTTTTGAATCAATTAAGTGGTGGTTACTCTGGTTCCCAAATTAAGAGGAAAATAATATAATAAGCAACTGAGAGAATTTCCATAAGAACTCTCTGTTCTGTGACTACTAGTGCTGAAAGAGCCAAGTGAAGTTCCTGATCCTCATACTTTGCATTAGTAGTATTCTCCAGAGACACAGAACCAATAGGATGGATGGATAGATGGATGGATAGATAGGTAGATAGATGATAGATAGATAGATAGATAGATAGATAGATAGATAGATAGATGATAGATAGATAGATAGATAGATAGATAGATAGAAGAGGATATTTATTATGGGAATTGGCCCAGGTTGTTTTGGAGGTTAAGAAATCTCACATTCTGCTGTCTGCAAGTTGGAGAGCCAGGAAAGCTGGTGGGATAATTGTCTCAGTCCAAAGACCTGAGAACCAGAGGACTGCTAGAATAATTTCTGGAATCCAAAGTCCCATGACCAGGAGCTCTGATGTCTGGGAACAGGAAAAGATTGAATTCCCAGCTCAAGAAATGAGAGGAAATTTACCCTTCCTTCACCTTTTGTTCTAACTGGGCCCTCAATGGATTGGATGACGCCACCCACACTGGTGAGGGCAGATCTTCTTTACTCAGTCTACTCAGTCAAATGCTAATCTCTTCCAGAAACACCCTTACACACATACTCAGGAATAATGTTTTACTAGCTATTTAGGCAACCCATTACCCAGGCAAGTTGACACATAAAATTAACCATCATATCCTCCTTTCAAAAAAGTAAAACATTAGCAGTATCACATGCTTGGTTAAGTCCTGGAGATTAGTCCCATCAATAAAGACAAGAGATAGAGGGATGGCGGTTATTCTAAGCACATTATGATTTAACATGCTTTTTGTCCTATGCAGAAGATAGGTAGATCTCTAAGAATTAATGGGTTATTATAAACTCAATTAACTACTGATTCCAATTGCTAATGTTATTCCACATTATATTCATTATCACATTATATTCATAATGTGTCTTCCTAAGCATATCAAGAAAACTCACAGCAAATTATATGCAAGTATTGATCTGGAATATGTTTTTCTTCCTCCATCCCAGAAATCAACAAAAAACAGGATTTGTGTGCATTAATTTCATAGGGGTAAAATCACATCTTTATTAACTTACTTCAGTGGCTTGGTACCACTCAAGACCTTTTTATCCTCTTCCCAAGGCTGCATCTTGATGACAGCAGGCTCATAAGACCTGATGAACAGAAAACAGCAGATCTGCCAGATGACTTGGTAAGTTGCTTTCACCAGAGGGTGAGAAATGATTCTTATTAAATTACCGGGGCCTGATTCTTCAGTGAACTTCTGGGGAATTTAGGAGTCTTGAAATTTCAAGTTCCTTCCAAAAGGAAAGACAGTTTGCTTCACCTTGCACTCTTTACCAAAAAATTTAAACACAATGTGTGATCCATCCTTTTGTATTTTACAGGAAAAATATTATTGTTTTGGGTGTGTTGCTCTGATTCATTTACTAAGTAGCTCAAAATTCTAACAGTATGAGAGAAAAATAGAAAAAAAGAAGATATTTTAACTGATTTAGGCTGTACACCTATAGCTCTTTCACTAGGACCTTATGACATCAGGAATTCAGTATTGTTCAAAGTATCTGTGTCAGACCTGGATATTATGCAGTGGTTGTGGTAAGCTGTAACACAGAGAATCCTGTGGTTTTGAGGTAAAACTAGGACTTTATTGACAAGTAATTATTTTCCTTTAGAGAAATCATTATTGACTTGTTGCTCCTTGCCCTGGTAGAGGTTGAATATCTGATTATAGAACTAGATGGCCAGGTAATCTGACCTGTCCATCATGAACTGGGTGTTCCCAGATGTTAGAAACCAGAAAAGTCATGCATGCTCCTCAGAACTAAATCATGAAATATAAATGTGAACAGAATCTGAAAGCGCTAGTGTATTACTTTAACAAGCAGTTCACATTACCCCTACTGCAATGGAGACTCTCCATACTCTGGTGATTTTCAGTCAACCTCTTTCCCAAGCCATCTTACTGCTTGGCTAATGGATGCCATGACAGGGTCAGAGGTGATGTAGCAACAAGTACTTCCCCATTCCATGGCTCACTGGCTCCAGCCTCTGCTGGAAAATATCTAATTTTCCAGCAATAGTGAAAAGAGACCAAACCTAAACTTAGTATTCCCTAGAGGTCCCATCAGCCACCTGATTGTGGATTGAAACATTAAACGTCTTCATCATGAAGGGAATGATAATTTATCCTAATTGTACTAAATATTTACCTTGGAGTTAAATTGTCCTTCCATCTGACATGCTTTTTCTGAGCTTACTGAATGCCTTATTCACAATATTGTTTCTGACCAAAGAACTAATTTCACACAAACAAAATTAAGGCAATAACCTGACACTCACAGAAATTACTGCCTTACCAGGTACCTTATCAATCAAATCATTTGTGTTTACAGGGAGTTGAAATTGTCTGAATGGAAGTAAGATAGAAGAAAGCATCTAATAAAATTAAGATGCTGTCCAGTGTGAAGTATGTATATTCTCTGAACCAAACCCGGAATACAGGAAACAAAGAATAAAGGTATGTGTAGAGCTCTCACTCTCATACATAGTGAATCCCTCACAAGTTAATGTTTCCCATTTATGTCTCTGGGTCCTGCCACTTTGTCTTAGAGATCTGCCAGGAGATTTTAGAACACAAAATAAGTTATTCCATGTGGGGACTCTACAATGGTTTCATGAATTAGAGGCTAAGGTTTCATTTGTCCATTTCAAGCTCTTCCTGCTGTAGGACAAAGATGCAAAGTAGAGGATTATAGATGCCGATCATCAAGGGGAAACAAGTTTGCTGGGGGAAGGGTATAGTATATTTAGAAACCAAGGTCTGTCCTAGGGTGCCCCTAATCTGGTAGTAAAACTTATTGAAGGCTCCAGAAACTTCAGAAAGACTACAGAAACATCAAACAAGATCACCAACTAATTCTATTCCTGAGAAATAGTAGTTTGATTTATCTCATTATGAAATCAACCTCAATTTCCTGCCATACTGGCTGCAAATAAAGTGTTGAATAATTAATAAAGAAAGAAAGCAGAAATATCAGGGATGGCCTTCTGACAATTGTAGAAATATAGTGTCTTCATCTGGGCACCCTAGGAAATACACCAAGGGAAAGTTTATGTGCTAATGTTTTAGAGATATTCAATTCTGGGGAGGCGATATTGAAGGAAGAAAGAAAGAGGATAAGGAAGGAGGGAAAACAAATACTGGGTGGTGCATTTCTTAGCTTTTGCAGTTTAACAGAACACAGCTGGTTTCTTGGTAAAGAAGGGTTTTGGAGAGGCCATACGAAACCACCACCTCTAGTCCATTGTGGTTGGGAAGGGGGAGCAATAAATCTGCTGTAGTCTTCACCATCTCCTGGTTTCCACTGCTCAAAGCCCAACCCACAGGAAGGTTCAACCCCTCTATTCCAGGTTGTGTTAGCTAGCCCCTCTGGATTGCCATAGGGAAACTCAGAGCCTTGGGGGTTTCATTTGGATGGACCTGGGCACTGAAGCTGCTTTCAGTCCCTAGCACTGCAGATTCAATGGAGCCTGGGCACAAGCCCAGCCCTTGACCCTGCAGGAGGCTGAAACTATGTGTCATGTTGGGATATGAAATGAAGTTGCAATAAGGAAAACTTTGTGACCTGCTTTAGAGCTGCTGTATCCTGAAGCCAGGCAGGCCCCCAAAACCTGGAGGACAGGAAGGTCAGAGTGGATCTGGTCTAGCACACAAACGTGATCTTGGACTCATGGCTTCGGGTGTCTATCCATAGCTTTCATTCTTTCAGTGTCATGAACAGATTAATATGATCTTCATGTATATTTCTTTTCTCTCCTTTCCCTGTTCTTTTTATACATAGAGTGTTATTGGTGGGGGTTAGCTTTAACAATTTAGTTCATAGTTTACAGAATATCAAAAAGCTAAAACTCAAGAAAGAATAAAAATACTATGAAAATCTGGACTTGAAGGAGGTTGCATTGACTGCTAAAACGCTTGTTAGTTACCTTTGGAGACAAAGGAAAGCAAAATTTTCTTGGTATAAGTAGTAGCTGCATTATTTGGAGTACATACATTGTGTTCAAGCCTGCAAGAGGGAGGGAATATTTTGAATTGGACAGGTAAAGAACTGACTCTAGTAAACATTTTTCTTATATTTTCCAACAACTTTTGAACACCTCTCACTTGTTCAGGGTATCTTCTATGTTAGATTCTTGCATTCCTAACATAAAACCCAGAAACCAACCTTCCTAAAGTCCCCTGCAAGTAAGGTGCAAGCATGGGACATACTCTTCTCTGATGAGGCACATTCTCAGGAGGCTTTCTAGGCAGAGCGTGAAGGAAAAAGGAGCTGCCATATGGAATCTAATCTAGCAAGCAAGCATGATAGTAAATCAGCTGTGGTGGCATACCAGTGGCCTTGCCTCATGCCAGCATTTCAAACTATAGTGCCCATGATCAACACCAAATTAACAAAGGAGTTGCCAGAAGAATGGTATGACCGAAAAATGTGAGTGTTGTTCTCGACTGAGAGCTTGACTTCCTGACTATCCCACAGATTTTGTGAGCTCCCAATATTCTTTTGAAAAAGCAAGTTTTGCCATTCGTACTAAGCCTCAGTATAGTTTTGTTATAATTTTTTTACATTACATATACTCATTTTAGAATCATTTGATATTTGCCTTGGTTTTGTAACTAGATATAGAAACCTTATATGTTTCAAGCTGAGTTTCTTCCTTTGTCAAAACCATACCCACATGCACACATGCATACACACATAGGTATAGTGACAAAAAATTTATCTAAGTATGTTATGAAGTATCAAATATGCTGAAAATACAATTTAAAAGCTCTCAACTGTGAAGTTCAAGTTGGATGGAATTTATAAGCCCAAGAGCTACCTGACCTACCATATGAACCTTCAATAATCAGATCACAGAATATGAAGACACAGCTGCAATTCAGTGCTATGTTAAGCAGAAGCAGAAATTACTATTCTATAGCATTTCGTGGTAAGCACCACTGCAGTGTGAAGGCAGATAGCCCAATTTTTGTTTAAAGTGAAATTTAAAATGTATATTTTGAGGTATACACACACCTGAAAACAGAAAATCTTTAAATTATACTGAATTAACTGCCGTTATCCAGAAAAAGGGTATTTCTAATAAACTAATTTTCCAAGCTTAGAAATATACTCAATTAGAATTATATCTTAAGAGAGCCTAGTTTGTATTGCCTCCAACTTTACTGATGGAAGCCTTCAATTTCTCCAATTGAATTTTTCCTTGAATAAAATGTTAATTTACAGTATTTTCAACCCTCAGGGAGACTGAAGATAGAGAACTCCCTAATAATATGTAGAAGAGGAAATTTGTTATTTAAATCTGAATTTCATGTACTAAACAAATTTATATTTTCTTTTATTCATAGCTAAACATCATTTCAAAACCATTTGATTTCCCATCAGAAAGTCATTGGGTCAACTAAATAGAGAACTTTAGCAAAGTGATAGACATTACTCATTACAGGTGCATTCTATCCCCTAACCATCATGTGGTAGATGCTTTTTTGAGAAAATAAAGCCATATTAGAAACACAACAGTAGCCAGAAGAATAAAAAACAAACATCATACTTCTGCTTTAAAAACATATATAACATTTTCAGATTATAGAAATAATACATTAATGTAAGACAAATCTGAAAGAGATCACTTTTAACAAGAAAAAATTATAATTGTACCATTCATAGTGCATTGGTAATACTCTAGTTAGGTAAACTTCTGGTTCCTTATAAATATAAATATATGTGTATATACATTTTGGATATATATTTGCATGTATACATTTTTGAAAGATTTTATGTATGATATGTATACATGTATATAAAAATTTTTACAATATAGCATGAATTCTTGCCTGATCTAGAATATGTACCTTTTAGTTCATTGTATGGATACACTATAATTTACTGAACTGTTATTATTGGACATTTATCTTGTTGCTGATCTGTATTATGATAAATAATGCTAGAGTACAGATCCTGTTACATTATTTTATGTTTATTTTTTATTATTAGAATAAGATTCAAAGTACTCAGAAAGAAAGTGGACAATTTTATGTTTTTGAAACTGTGTACCATATTTCTTACCAGAAAGGTTCTAGCAGTTTACATTCCAGTAGCAAGGTATTACAGTTCCATTTTCAGTACAACCATGCCAAAAATAGGTATTTTAATTTGTTTTCTAATTTAATTGTTGAAAAGTACAAACTGTTTTAATTTGTATGTTTGAAACTAGTTATTCTAATGTCAAAATTTAGGGATTTTTATTTCTTCCCTTATGAATTGCCTTTTACAATTTTGATCAGGTTTTTGTCATTTTCTTAGTAATTATAAGAACAGCTCTATATATTAAAGATATTAATAGTTATCATGTATGCTGTATAAATTTTTTAGATTTTTTATTTCTTTTCATCAATTTTTATAACATCCTGAAGAAAGTATTTTAAAGTTTTAGCTGTCAATTTTTATTAATTAATTTTCATGGCTGTTAGGTTGAAAAAATTAGATCAAAAATTAATTATACTTACCTCTACTTTCTTATGGTTTCACTTTTTGCACTTAAATATTTTATCCATTTAAACAATATTTTGGTGTAAAGCCTCAGATAATTTTCTAAAATAATTAAAGAATTGCCCAGATCCAGTCATTGATGGATCCTTCCATTTAAATGTTAGATTTATAATACAAATATATTTGAAGATTTTTTAGCCTGTTCCACTATTTTGTCTATTTGTTCAGAAATACTATATCATTTTAATTATTATTTCTCTATAATAATATGTTAATGTCAAAAGAAAACATCTATCTCCTCAATTTTTTTCTCAGAATTGTCTTAACTCCTCCTACCCATATTTTTTCCCAGATGATCTTTAAAAATCACCTACCCAATTCTCAAAAATTTTATAGAATCATCAGTTACATTGACTTTCATTGAAATCCCACCTACATGTTTCTACAGTTTGTCAAGATGTCTTCAGTAAGTTTGAGAACAATTTTTCGTATTTTCACTTTATATAGTCACGCACTTTATTTATACCACGTGTATGTATAGTTTTTATGTGTGAATGTGTATTTATATTATACATATATAGTCGGATTACATATAAGAATATGGGTGTATATAAAAGAATATATGTATGTATATGTGTGTGTCTATCTATCCCATTCTTGCATTAGTAATTTTTAGCATCTATGCATGTAAAATTTTATCAAATAACTATTTATTTTGAGAATGATAATGAAATTTGACTCTATTAACATGTTGAGATTTTGCATTATAATTATTTCTAAAATGTGCAGCTAGATTTAATTTGCTTGCACATTATTTAAGATTTGTCAGTTTTCGTAAGAGATTGTTCTATAGTTTTCATTTGTTTTGAGCTCCGATATCTGCTTTATGTTAATTTTGTAGAATATTTTGTACATATTCCTGTTATCTTCATATTCTAGATGAGTTTGCATTTCATAAGGAA